GGAACACTGCCACCCAAGCATTTATTGGAATGACATTATCCCGAACCACCCAGCTGGCACTATGTGGAGATTGTTCGGCAAGCCAGCCAACTAGCTTAATATGACTTTGTTTTAAAACAGCCATTGGTTGCATGTGTGTAAGTGGAGAAGATTTCCTAGTGACTGAATAATATCGCAGTTTATTTTTTCTTGATATTCTCATTTTTAAAGCGTGTGCTAACAAAATTTCACCAGAAATGCTCAACCTGGTAACTAGTTAGTAGAAATAATAACAGCTCGGATTGCTTGGACAAATACAAGGTCGCTGATCGCTCCGTGATCAGGTTATATGAGATAGCCCCTCCAAATTGTCCGGTGGCCAATCCCGTTCTCATCGGCGCACACCTATGTGACAGCTTGATCAAATATTCTTTCGTTTTACTAAAGCGCTGTTGCAAAGTCATCGTGTTTGTCTGCAACGTAGTTCCATCCAACTGTGTTTTCAGGAACGACAAACATGACACACAGCGTCAGATGATACTAGAGTATACATGGGATTTATACGGCCGGTTTAATTGGTTGGAGTTTAACGAAGGCAACAATTCGATACCAAATGATTTTTTTCTAACCAACAACGAGCGGATTCCAGTATTGTCCATTCAGCGCCTCAATTAAATGAGTAATACGTTGCCAGTACCAGTGCTCAGAGTAAACCGGCTTCTTAATTTTTCCAACACCACAGTCATATTCTTATCCCACTAGCTGCGATGCAGTGATGCACATACTATGCTTGCTTAATAACATAACATTTCGTGATTTTCATACTTACCTGAGGTCTTGAGCAGTTTCAAAAACAAAATGGGTTCATAAGGACCATTACCAATTACCTGATACTGACCATTATTCATTCGAAACAATTAGATCCTATTAGCAATTTGAATAAACCCGTAAGAAGACGAACACTGGCAGATGTCAACATTTCGTATTGTTCCTTCCGTGACAACAAAATAACATGAAAATATATAAGACGACAAGTCAGTTGAGACCGGAACAAGTTAGAACAGGGTACGGGACAGGCGTGACACTCCTACGCCCAGGGCAGCCGTACGATTACGGACAACTATTTCCGCGCACATAGTGCAGGTTTGATACGGCTGATCGTGACTGCCTCTGCGAAACGTGGGAAACGGGCGTTAATATGTCTTAACACGATTGTAAACACTTTGGCCAAACAAACTGATGACATGTGGCCAGTAAATGCCTACCTACGGATGGAGCAGGTGGCTTACGTGAACAGATGGTATGAGTGACCGACGGCTGGGTGATTTGAAGCTGCAACCGTTTGGGTACATGTTCCTTTATTCTAAAATACGGCCGATATAGTGTTTACAACAATTACAAGTAAATTTACTCTTAATCATACAAAGGAGAAATGTGAACCACATTGGCAATATTCCCTGGTTGACAACCGGGAGCAGCCTGCTTATAGTGACCCTAATACGCAGGTTTTAAATGTGTTATATGTTCCCCTTGATGCCGTACAACTGGAAGCATTATAGCTCGGAATGGATTACGAAGTCCCACCTGGTAAACTAAACCGCTCGTTCATAGAGGCACAGTTTGAAAACTTTATTGACCAGTTAACAGTCGTCTAGTCAAGATATGTCAAATTGTTTTAGGAACAAACTAATTGATATTGCCCATGAGGTGACAATGACGCCAGACAAAGGCTCAGCAGCCGTCATTATGTGAAAGGAAAATTACACACAGGAAATGCAAGATCTGTTGAGTGATGCTAGCAAATTTAAACTCCTTACAAGAAAAGAGGACGTTAATGAAGTGGAAAAGCGTATCACGGAACACCTCAAGTTGCTCCACTTACACCATGTGATGGATGATGAGGTATATAACAGCCGAAAACCGGGAAGGTCTAACATACCTCAGCTATACGGGTTGCCGTTGATCAGTAAATGTGGTATACCGCTTAGACCAATCTTGTCAATGGCAAACTCCGCCAAACGTTAGTTGACTCATTGGCTGGTGGAAGTTCTTGCGCCGTTAAAGCGGCCGATTATCCCACTCTGTCTGAAGGACTGTTTCGAGCTTACGGAAGCTCTAGATGAGTTTAATCTATCCGATAAAGTCATGGCCGCATTGGATTTGCGATCGTTTTTCACCAATGTTCCGCTACATGAAACAGTTGATTACGTGTGTGAAATCGCAGAATGCTCCGATTTAACTTTTCCAATGTCAGTTGAGTTTTAAAGGACAGCTTACTACTATGCACTGAGAACATCGGTTCCCAATTCCAAAACATTCCTTATCACCAGATAGATAGGGTGGCAATGGATAGTCCGTAGGGTCCAGTGCTAGCATATATTTGCATGTCGTTGATTGAAACGAAGTTGTGTATAAATATCGCTTCTTTCTTACTATAAGCGGTAGGTGGATGATGTTTTAGTGTTTCGTTCATCAGAACAGCACATGGCGCTTCTAGCCGATCGCCTGAATAACGTGCATACGAATCTGAAAGTAACCAACGAAACAGAGAAAAGCCACTGCCTCACATATCTGGACGTGTTGATTTGCCGAAGAGCAGATGTGTCCATCAAAAGTGAAGTTTACAGAAAGCCGACTTGGTCAGGGCAGTACTTGCACTTTACCAGCTTCTCCCCAATGCGGTACTAGCGGACCTTAATCAAGACGCTATTCAACCGTGCAAGAAAAATATGCACTACCGACAGTTTAGACGATGAGATAAACTAGATCAAGGATACGTTGTTTAAAAATTTCTATTCAAGAAGATTCATTAACAAACATAGTCACGCGAGGGTGCCGAAAAAGAAGGTTTTGACAGTGTTTAAAAAGAAGATCTACATCGAGTTACCATTTAAGGGTGGTTTTGCCAATATGAGGACAACCAAGCGCATAACTTACGCAGTCCAGAGGACTTATTATGCTGCTGAAACTCTTCTTATCAACCGGACTAATCAAATGCCTGTCACTCTAATGACAGGAAGACAACCTATTGGCACCAACTCACATTGTATTCACCAATTTACCTGTAGTTGTGGTATCCACTACATCAGCCGGACCAATAGATTATTAAAATCCAGAATAAGGGAACATGTACCTAAATGGTTGCAGCATCAAATCTCCCAGTCGTCGGTCGCTCATACCACCTAATCCACCTGCTTCATCTATAGGTAAGCATTTACTGGCCACATGTCATCAGTTTGATCTAGCCAAATGGTTTACAATCGTGTTAAGACATGTTAACGCGCGTTTCCTACATTTCGCAGAGGCAGTCGCGATCAGCCGTATCAAACCTACACTCTGTTTGCGGAAATAGTTTTTCGTTATCTTACGGCTGCCTTGGGCGTAGGGGTGTCACGCCTGTCCCCTACCCTGTTCTAACTTGTTCCGGTCTCACCTGACTTATCGTCTTAAATATTTTCATGTTATTTTGTTGTCACTGAAGAGACAATACGAAATGTTGACATCTGCCAGTGTTCGTCTTCTTATGGCTTTATTCAAAAAATTTTTATTCACTCGGACAAAATTGTAACGGTTTAGCAAATCCGAGTTAAACATAATATATCTCTAGTACAGACAGATTACTGATACTGTTTGAGCAGCTTGTCTTTGCAAAAAGATTTTTAAAGCTTCTCACTCAAAATTGTGCACTCATCGACCGAGTTTACCTTGTTTGGAATTAGCTACTGAATATAGTCACCAACATGAATTATAATCCGAATTGCTACATGTTGTGCACTAGTTGAGATAACACAGAGAAGTCCAGAGTATTTGTCACTAAATTGTATTTGAATCTGTGATTGTTGCTAGACAAATCGCAACACCATTATATCGCAGCTCCGTGACAACTGATTAACATATATCTATGATTTGGTCATTTTTGCAACTGCTTTTACCTTCGCATGATAGTGGAACCTACATTGACCATCGCTATGAACCCATCATCCTAGTCGATTGCAATCATAACTCAGAATGTGCAGTTTGTTTACGCACTAATCATCAACCAAGAAGAATTTACTGATCATGAGACTAAAGTGAAGGCTTCGATAGCATCCTCAACCTAGTTTCACTGATGCTGTGGTCATTTCTGGGAGTACAACAAGTTTGCGCTTCCTTGAGCAACTGGGTATCAGCGCTGGCACAAAGGGAATCCTCCTTATCTGCCCTCTATATCTGTCTCTATGGTTGCCAATACCGTTTTCAACTGTCAATCAAATTGCATATTTGTCCACATACCCACCTTTCTATCTATCCTTTGTCTGTTGTGTGATCACACTGTCTATGGGACATAAAATTCGTAAAATCAATACCTTTTATTGTTTCCTAAGAGGATATAAAATTATATGTTTAGCCAGTGAATTGGGATAACACAAAACCTGACTGCAAGATTACCCTCAGGCGGCGTACGTAAACCACGGGGGCTGGTTAGGCTAATTGGAAAAACCATACCTTAATGACAAAGTACAGGAGACAAATTTGTATGGCATATTGGGGAAATGAATAGCTACCTACGAAACGATGTGGGTAGTCGTTCGCCCGAACGTTTATTAACAGCGGACTAGAATCACTCACCGGTGCATATTGAGTGAATTAGGTGGTCAGGTCAGGTTGAGGGGGGTCTTGGAGGGACTAAGTTCAACACATTTAAAAAATATTCAATTTGTGGGCGGGATCACGCGACACTGGAAGACTGTTCCAGGGTTTGTGCATCCCGATGAAAAAGTATGTTTGCAGGCAAAATCCTGTGTAGGACAATAAAGCCCTGTGGATTCGAGATCATTACACCAAGCAAAAACTGCCACAGTCGTGCCACCACTTTGCGAAACTTGTGGCGTTTGTTACCGATTGTGAGTGATACTCCCAGGTGAGGTTATACGTGATAATAAAATTTTTGATGTTGACCATGTCTGCATTACTGACTCCATTCACACACTCGTTATTTTTCCTCCTGCCTTTTGGCGATAACATGATGCTGCGATATTCAGATGACTCCTGGAGGCGTGGCTGACACTGACGGTCGACTGCACGTTGGGGACAGAATAGTTCAAGTGAACGGGATCTCGCTGGTCGAGGTGTCCCACGAACAGGCGGTGAACGCTCTAAAACAAGCCGGTGACCGTGTACAGATGATTGTGGTCAAACAACCTGGAGTAAAAATGGCGAAAACCTCTAGAGCAATCAAAACAGGTGAGTGGGATTATGATGCACAACTCAGCTAAAACCACTTCTAAGCAATCGCGTGGAAAAGATCCATCGTTAAAGCAGCCCATTTAGTTAGTACACAAATGATTTTACGCTTGATGACAGCAGGCTAACTTGAATGCACATGGTCGGCGTTGTGGTTTTGTGTAGCGAATTGAACGGTAGTTAAATGCTTTTCCCTTGGAATTTCCCTGTGCCCAGTAAAACAGAACGAAACGCTGTCTATATGGTTTTTCGAGGTATCAGTACCAAAAGTGGGCTAGTAAACGGAGTAACAGAAATGGTGGAAATCCACACATAAAGTAACAAGGTCTTCAATAAGAAAAACGGTACATCTCAGCATGCAAATGAAGCGGTGGAAGAGAATAAACGAAATGAACCGAATTCCGCATATTCTGCAGTAATGTTCGTTGTTCTTGCTCTGTTAAAATTACCTTTGTTGGGACAAGCTAAACCCATAGCGAACAGTGGATTGCATTTAAGACGCCCACTTTATGCTGTTGTGTACGTCTCACATACTGATATCATGCACTGCTGTTGGAAGAACTAGCTTGAAATGGGGAACAGGATCTCTAATATTGGTGGGTGGGGCCTTTAAATCGGCCGTGCCGTTGTCACTGAACATTATTTTTGCAATATCGCTATGCATACATTAGTGTTCTCAGAATATTTCAACATGGTGATTTGTCAAGCTATTTTCAAGGTCACCGCTGCTGTTCTCCGCGTAATCTTGGAGAAAAATTCAAGATATTGCGCACATGAAAATGGACGATCCCGATTAAAAGTTTAGCTTGCAATGCAGGATTCAAGTGATTTTGTCCGGAACGGTTTAGTTGTTGCTCTTTCAAACGGATTGTTTATTTAAATGACACATCTACACAGTGTTCTATTATCCATTCTTACCTAATTATTTTTGATAATGTAAGTTTGACTTATCCGTTATCGATATTGTAAAGTGCTGAAAATGTACTTACCTGGATAAAGAATGTTTTATTTGACATGACCTGACTTGACATCGGGGTGTGCTCCGGCAGCACAACATAAGACTAAGAGGCGCACAACTGTTACCTATGACCTTGGTTAAGCAAACCAGTAAGAAGCGACCATATTAGGCACCAATGTATTGCAGGCGGCACCGGCAAGGGAAAAATGTGACCCACCTCTAGAAACAATTACTCTTACTTACTAGTGGCATGTTATAGCAGAGGTAAGAATACTTCACCACTCCCCGTTGTTTTGTGAGTTTTGCCCTGGGGCTCCGACACAACATGGCAAGACCTAAATGCTGCGTGAAATGCTTAAGGAAAGAAGGTAAAATGTGGATATTCACATCAACGAATTGGTGCGAGCGCACACACACACACACACACAAGTACACAAATAGCGTAACTGAGATTACCGTTTCATTAGCCGATACACAAATCGATCTAGCTGGCTTGTGGTAAGGCCGCTGCCATTGTAACTTATGACACGAATAAGTGCCATCTGTTTGCAGAATTCCTGCTTTGCTTACCTGTGTGGAAGTATCAGAGCGACTGGTATTCATATCTCAGCGTTAGCCATGGCATTGGCGATCCGATCCTGAGTTGGGTTAGCAATTTTCTACACGAACGACGGCTAGTGGTGAGAGTCCGAAAATCGTTGTCTCATGCAATCGATGTGGCGGTGGAGTACCACAAGGCTCGGTTCTTGGACCTCGTCTATTCTTGGTGTTCGTTAACGTTTTGGCGAGATCAATTTCTTCCGATTTCCTATTTTTCGCTGATGATATCACGATATGGCAAAGGATCAGAGGACCGGACGACCACGGACCGCTTCAGTGCGATCTTAACAGTTCATTATTTTACCCTTAAATATGATTGTAATGGTCTGAAGAGAATCATCGAAAACAATTGTTCACCTATGGTCTCGTGTTCTTTTGATCTTAATAGTGTCGAACTGGTCAGTTCAAAACGCCCTACCATTCAACGTAGACAAATTTCGCGTTGTACAATTACGCCATAAACATAATCACACAAATTTACTTAGGATAAACGGATTGCAGACCAGCTCCCAGGAACGTGATCTTGATGTGCTCATACCGAGCGACCATAACTGTTCAAAGCAGGCTGAGGTAGCTGCGAAAAGAAGCAGCCAGCACGTCGACATACTGGGAAGGGCTTTCGGGAGGTTTAATGCATCAATTTTCCCAATGATGCACAATCCCTACATGCGCCCGCATTTTGAATACTCAATCCAAACTTGGCATCCTTGCTTGAAGCGCGACTTAGAGATGTTAGAGGCACCTCAACGAAGAGCAACAAAGAATGTAAATGGCCTGTGCTGTCACTTACCACCGAAGGCTGAAGTCGCTGGGAATTTTCAGCGGACGCTATCGAAAGCTACGCAGTGATCTCATATTAGCATATCAGATAGTAAGTGACCCAAACCACGTATGCTACCATTTGCTGAAACTTAGCCACGACATGCAGCTCAAAGGTAACTGCTGAAAATTGTAGGAACAATATAGCCGTCTAGAGTGTCGACGGAATTACTTTTCCCTTCGGGTTTGCCAACCCTGGAACGCACTCCCAGACTGAGTTGTATCCTATCCTACCTTGGACGTCTTCAAAAAACGAGTAGATGTTGCTATTAGCTCCCAGCATTTTGTTACCTAAATTCCTCTATTGTGGATTACGCCAAGCATGCTTTTCAACAAGATTTATGTATCAAATGGACACAAGTGTGCAAACATATTTTAATTTTCTCACGCCTTACATCAACGAGCACTACACCCCAGTATCTTTCTGAACGTTTACGTGCGATAATTTTTTCATTTTACACTGATGTAATTTATCATTGTTTATCTAGCAGACGTTCGGTAGATGACCCAGATATATTTTGATTTCATCATATTCACCCCAACCATCCTATGGGAGGTGTCAAGCACTTGCTTTTATCCCGTGATAAATCATTGTTCATTGTTCATTGACGGGGGTTTACTATGTTCTCAGTAGTGATCCAACTCGTGAATAAGCTTCCAAATTTGCCTACCTAACGCGCACATCAAATTTTCTAGCCTTTGTGACAAGTGTCTCCCCGAGCTCGAAAATGTGTGAAAGTACAGGTCTTTTGTGTGAATTCCTACTCTCCAACTTCGGTTCCCTGTCCAGCTGTATTCATAAGATGGGGCAAACAAGCCCCAGACTGGCCATGGAGCGTAGCGTTGGAGGTAAGCAGCGACTGTCATTCGTCTGTATGGTGAAACTGTTGACTGTTTTGCACTGTTCGCAAGCGGTACTTCTTTCGATTATTTGCTTCGATAGGCTACTCATGATTTTCTACGTAACTTGTGACCTCAACAGAGGGCCCGTGTTCACAAGGATCCCACTCCTGCCTTGTAACCCGAAGGTTGTGGGTTCGGGCTTGTGTATGAGACTGGGTGACGCTCACCATATCCTTAGCCCACACGGAGTTGGTAGCGGTTGCATAGCAGCAATATATCGGTACTGCGCACTGCTGTATTACTGGTACATTGTACTCTTGAAGTGAAGAAGCGGATTTAAGGCAACTAATTTGCACTGTTTTAAGGCACTGGTTCCTAAACCTAGGGGTTTTAGGAGGAGGGTAAATACTGGGATCCGGTTATGTTTGTCGTTCTGTGGGTATTTTCTACAAACGACTGGATGTTTCCCTTGACCCTCATCACTACGTTGCCTAAGCCGTGCTAGTTTGGAATATCTTAATCATACCGTCAAACCGGATTTATGTGTCATATAGAACTAAGTGAGTGAGTATTCTTATTTTTAGTTTTATCACGGAGGAGGTCGGCTATAATTTCTCCTATGCCCTCTAGTTTGCTGGTATTTATTTCTCATTTGATACTACCGTTATTCACTTGTGCATTCGCTTGATAGATGCTTAAATAGACAACTTACATATCTTGTGATATTGTAGTTCCACCCCTGCAATCTTGCGGGCATTGTCAAGCAACTGTTTTTTTAATCCGTGATAAATCATTGTTCATAGCCCAAAATGGTTTTTCCATTGAAGGGGAATGATGGACAAATTACTACTCTTTCTCCTACTCTCCATTGCTTCACGGCATTCACGATTCACAGAATGTTGTCTCAAAGAATTGACAGAGTACTGATAGCTTTCCAGCGCTTCTTTAGCTTCAAGTGTCTCTGTAAAATTGTTACCGTGGATAAAGTGTTGAATTTCCACACCAATACATGGATATTTGGATGCCTACACTGGCTAACTCCGTTTGCTTGCGAGCTAAATCATCCTTTCATATACCCTTGATGATTGGTGTGACAGATTCCTGAACTGAAGTCTACTTATATGGTGCCGACTAATCCACTGCGGTGGAATCAGTAAAAACCGTTCCGACCTACTAAACCGTGTACTGCCCGCTGTATCCAATGGACATATGCCCCGTTTGAACTCTGAACATGTCCCATTTCCCGGTATTTGTGCGTCATTGATCGGACCAGTCTGCTGTGATTTATCAAAGCATTACCGGGTCAATTACAACTCACATAGTAACCTCAAAACAGATTAATCCATGGCAACAACTTGCCGCGATATTGTCTACTTTTATCATGTGACCAGTATCGACCTGGATTGATTACTAGCTATATGGCAGTGGAGACTCATAATCCCAATAGATTATGACACATTAGAGATCAACTTTAACGCATATAGCGTGCGAGTCACTGGAATACGGATTAACCTGGTCTTATAATCTTTCTCCGGTCCGGTGTTCCAAGCTCTTCCGTGTCCAAATATTACGGCGGACCGTTGTTGACCTTTGGGGCTGCAACGCAAAATAAACTTTTCATAGGCGGCTGGATGCTAATAGTACAACCGCTTAGTAATAGATCGGTCTAAAGAACGCTACGATTTAAACACAGAAGAGTGAAGCAGAACTCATACTGAAGAGAGATATTGGTAAGTGGGAGCAAACCGCATCGACCTCTTATTTCCTAACGTGTTACAGT